CTGCCTGGGGGCTGGCCGGGGAGGAGGCCAAAGCCACACATAGAAGGGCCCGAGGTGGCAGGCGGGGGCAGTGGGTGTAGTTCCTGGGGGGTGTGGGTGTTAGATGAGGGCCTGCGGTGAGGGGAAGAGAGTGTATGTTGGAGATGTTGGAGCACAAGGAAGTCACACCCGAGGGGGTCGGGTCTTCCCTGGGACAGTCTCCTGGCATCACCCCCACAGCACGCTTTCTCCTGGCTTCCAATACACTTTAAAAGGCCACAGGTCTACAGCCATGCCACCCTCAACGTGCCCGATCTTGTCTGATCTCGGAAGCTAAGCAGGGTTGGGCCTGGTTAGTACTTGGATGGGAGACCACCTAGGAAGACCAGGCACTGTAGGTGTAAAAAAAAAAAGGATGGGTTAAACCAACCTCCACTTATCTGGGATCCTAAGGAGAGGGATACTGTTGGGTTGGAAGGAAAGTGTCTGGAGATTTGGGGGGCTATGTTCCCTGAGAAGTAGACCACTAAAACAGCAATTTTCAGAACTAGATTTAAATATGTCAACCTCTCATTTTCAACCCTAAAGTCCCAGAGACCCTGAGCCATGTCAGAAGAAAGACCATGGCGTTGAGGAGCCCAGATCCGAATCCTTCCTGCGTGACCTTGGGCAGGTTGGCTACTGATCTGGAGCCTCCATCCTCTCACTGGAAACCTGGGATTCATTTTCTTGACGAGGCATGTGACCTCTGGTGTCTCCATCCCCAGTGCACATGCTGGGACCCTGGCTGGGTCTGGGGAGGGAAGGAGCCCTGCCTTTGGAGATGCCACCCTGAGCTCAGGGCTTTGGCCAGAGTGGTGCACTTGGGTCGAGGGAGGGAACTTCGGGGCCTCTGGGGACATCCTGGCCCTGACGGAATCACGAGGCTCACCCTCGGCTGGGGAAAGGAGGAATAGCAGCACGGTGACAAACACCTCACCTCTCACCGAGTGTTCATTCTTTGCTGGCTGTCACTTGGCTCATGGGACAGCAACATGAGCCTTATCGATCACCTGGGTGCTGCTTGGTCCAGCGTGAGGACGTCCGTTATTCCCTTTCCTTCCTGCCTGTCTCGGGAGAGAGCTGCCCTGCTCTGCTGGGCGACCTTCCCCCACCCACTCTGAATCCTCCTCCACCTTTTGCTCAGTCCATGGCTCTCTCTGTCTGGCCCCCATCAATTTTTCCCCTTCCCCCTAGAGCATTTCCTTAATGGCACCCATTCGTCTTAGACACATATTGTCCCTTGACCCCCCTCCAGATGCCTTATTTGTCCACTCCACTTGACGGGAAAACTTGACAGCACTCCCTGTATTTGACAGCTCTGCTTTCTCACTTCCCACCCACCTGGCAGGGCCTTCAACCACCATCCCACAGGGACCTCTCAGGAGCTGGGGCCCAGGTGATTTCCCTCCTCCCTGTCATCCCTTTCCCATACTCTGTGTCCTCCTGCCCCACTGGGTCTTTTCGTCTTCCTGTTCTCTAAGCGTTGGAGGTCCCCAGGCCTCCAACCCCAGACCCCTCCCGGAGGCCCCCATTTGTGTATCCACCTGCGGCTGTGAAGAGTGACAGAGCTACCCATGGGTCCGGCCTGCAACGAGTTCTTTATATGTATTGTCTCATTTAATTCTGGTGCAAAAGCTTCCTACCCAGGTAATCGTGCCCCTTTTACAGATCAGAAAATTGAGACTCAGGAAGATTACATAACGTTCTAGGTAGAAGATGGACAGAGGTGCCATCTGACATTCCAGCCCACCAGACGATTTCCATCCTCCAGGCTTCCTCAGAAAGAGCGTCTGGCCCAGTGAGGGGGGTGGGGTGGTTGCCTGTGCTCTCATTGATGAGCGTAGAACATGGGTTTAAAAAAAATTAATATAACATGATTTCCCTCTGTTCTAAAATTATATTAATTGCACCAAATTTTAAATCCCCCCCCCGCAAAGAAAGCAAAAGCAAAAAATCATTTATCATCCCATTTTCCAGAGATAATTGCTG